CCAGATGGACCCATGTCCTTTTGGAGAGTCTACTTCATAGTTGATGTAGAGGCCTGACGACCGCATTGTATTCCTGAAACTGATGTTGAATAATACTGTTATGTCAACGATAATTATATATACATATATAACCTCGGGACATGGAGTAGAGTGCGGGAACGGATTCAATGGAATTGTAATAGATAAGCATGATATAGGGGTGGGAGGGCAGTGGATGGGGGGAGGGGGGTTGTTACTTTGTGAGGGTGAAAAAGGTAACTATTGCATTGTTCGTTACACCTGAAACTAACAATAAAAAAATTAAAAAAAAAAACCTCAAAAAATTCCAAAAAAGACAAGAAAAAAAGTCAAAAGAGAAAGTGAGATAAATAGAAAATGTAAAATAGCAAAGTAGAAATCATTCGAAATATATTAATAATTATAAAAATGTAATCAAAGCAATGCTCCAGTAAAATAACAAAAAACAGTAGTTTAAAAAACAAATAAAACAAAAGTAGCTCTTTACTGTTTACAGGAGAAACGCCTAAAACATAAGGACACAGAAAGCTTAAAAGAATAATAATTAAAAAAAATCCAGGCAGGTGCTAATCAAAAGAAAGCTGGTGTAGCCCTATTATTATGAAGGGAACCAAAATGTTGCCACCCTGAAGCTGACTTTTGGGGTATTTATTTTAAGCTGTTTATTAAGAAGTAAGACTCAGAAACAACCTTTGACCCTCTCCCCCTTTCCTGCCCAAGAAAGTCAGACAGAAACCTGCTTCAGAAAGGAAATATTAGAAAGCTGCCTTAGCTTAACTTGAATTAAGTATAGGAGACTTTATACAGGGGCCTGTTAGCTAGATACCCCAGGACCCATTGTTTCTGGGTTGCCCAGCAAGACATTTCCTGCCATGTATGCTCTGTGCTCCCTCAGGTACCTGTAATTCACCCATTCTTACTTTTGAAATTGAATACCCTGTTCCCCTCTTTCTCTCGTTTGTCCAAAAATGTCTTATATACCCACGGTTGCCTCACTGTCTGGAATTTTCATGCCTATGTGAATTCCCCATATGCGTGTATCAAAACTTTGATTTTTTTCCTGTTAATCTGCTGTGTGTTGTGTGAATTATTTGACCACCCAGAAGAGCTAAGGGGGTAGAGAGATTAATTCCCTGGCCTCCACAATTATTAGACATAATTGTATGGTAAAATGTACTATTGAAAATAAAAGTCACCATATAATGATAACAATTTTGATTCTACCAGATGATGTAAATATTGTAAATATTTGTGATTCTAATAGCCTCACATATACGTAAGGCAAAAATTAACAGAAATTGACAAATCTACTATTAAAATGGAAGATATTTAACATATCTTAGAAATTGATATGCCAACCAAATTAAGAAATCTTAAAATTTAAACAAGACAATTGAAAAACTTGATCTAAGGATATAAATAGAACAATGAACTTAACAAGTGGAAAATATGAATTCTTTTTAAGCACACATAGAACATTTATGAAAATTTACCACTTTGGGGCTCCAAGACAATCTCAACTAATTTCAAAGGATTAGCCTCAAACAGTCCACCTTCTCTCATGATGATAAAATGAGAAATCAATGACAAAAAGATGACCAAAAGTACTCTGTAACTTTGGAAATCTGCAATTCAAACAAGGTTCAAGAGTAAAGCTGTAAGTCATAAGAGAAATCAATAAATAGTACTAAATTATATTTAAAGTACAGCATTAAAAAACTTTCGTGATACAGCTGAAGTGGTAATTACAGGAAATTTATATTTTTTTAAAAGGACTAGGAATTGTCTCCTAATCAATTAAATTAAGAAAAAGGATACTAGAATAAACTTGAAGAAAGTGGGAAATAATGAGAACAAGAACAACAAAAAAGACAAAGAAAATTTATGTATGAGAGACAGGAAAAGCTTAAAATTGGTTCATAGGACACACTGATAAATAAAGCTCTGCCAAGAATGCTGGGATGCTGAGAGTCAGGGGAGGCAGAAGAAACAATGATAATATTAGAAATAAAAAGTTAAAAGGATATTGTAAATAGCTATATGTCAATAAATTTAAACTTAGATAAAATGGGAAAGTAATCTTGAAAAATAACTTGCTAAAACTGATGCAAGAATAAATAGAAATTTATTCTCACAAGAATAAATCTCACAAGAAAACGTCAGGCTCATGAGTTTTTACTGGCAAGTTCTAACTCACAGTTAATAGAAGAAAAGGGAATACTGCCCAACTCATGTTATAAAGCTAGCACAAATCCGATAGTAAAAATAGTCAAGAAAGGAGTGTGAAAAGCCTCATTTTCTCATGAACAAAAATCCTTTTAAAAAATTAGCAAATCAAATCCAGCAATAATTACGTTGTGAGCAAATTGTGCAGGAATGCAAAATTAGAAGACCAATTAATTTACCAGATTAACCAACGAAACAAGAACAATCATATGATTATTGAGGTAGTTGATTTGATATCCATCTCCCTCAGCACCAACCCCTACCCTGAAGTCGGGCCAACAGGGCCTCTCTTTGGATAAAAATGTGTAATGCCTTTCAGAACAGTGCCCTGCTGTGTTAAAGGCAAGATGACACAGAGAAGAGATAGTCAGAATAGTTTATCACAATGTTAATTTGTGTTTCGTCATTGCTGCTTTAGAGGAATGAAAAAAGATACCCACTGTAGTTTTGTACTTTCAATTTTCCCCTCAGGCTCCAAGGGGCACAGTGGGGGCAGGGGAGTTCTTTGAGCTCCCTTGTTTTGGCAGATTTCATTACAGGAATGAAAGGAAAAAGTTGTTTAGGGAAGTTTGAGCTCATTGAGGAGATCGGTCTACAGAAGTAAAAGGAGCGACTATTCTTGCTAGGGGAAATGCAAGCAGCAAAAAAGGAAGGAAGAGTCCCATGATTGGGAAGGACGCTGTGGTTTGTGTCCCAAGTCAAAGGAACTCACCATCCCCTGGCAGTGTCCTAGGGTGGGGGGTGGGGAGTACAAAACAAAGGCTGCTGGCACACCAGGGAGGCCAGGCACAGGCACCAAGACTCCCAGGATCAGCAAAGATGCCAAAGGAGGCAGCAAGCCTGTCTACAGAGTTCTGCACCCACTGTCCAAGATCAGTAAGCTTCCCTGGTTTTTGTGTGACCCAACAGCATCCCCCACCCCTGTACTGACTCACACTGGTTTTCCGTTAGCTGCCGGGGGAGGGGAGCTTGGAGTCAGAGTTAACTTGATTTAAGGAAAAGAAAGTCATGTGACATTTCTGCACACCCAGCTTATAGCCTAGACTCCCTCCCCACTACAAATGCACAGGATATTTGAGCAGAAAAAGTGAGACAGACATACACTGATGACCCAATTGCAGAAGCAAAGCTCTACCTCTCCTCCAGCTCCGGCCACTGCTCGAAGTTGCCTTGGGGATCACTGCTAGTTTCTCCCTTCTGGGCATCCACAGCTGCCTCCTGTCCAGCCCTCGGCGACTCCTTCAGGTCCCTGCACAGGTGGAGGGTTCCATTGGCCATGATGTCCAAAAAGCTGAGGATCTGGAGGCAGCTCTGTATCTTGGGTGGGAATGGGCTGGCAGAGGAAAAGGCCGCACTCAGTAAATCAGCAAATGACCTGGCCTTTGTGCCCTCCCAGGAGTGCACAGGGGCTCCCTCTTCTTCCAGGGCCCCAAAACAGCCCAGCAAGCATAGGTCTTCAGCCAGCTTCTCAAAGAGCCCGTTCCTCTTGAAGAAGTCACCATTGATAGGGTCCTGGTGCAGCGCCGCAGACACAGCACAGAGGGTATGCAGGACCAGGTCCAGGGTCTGGCTGGGAGACACCGCCCCACACGTCTGCAGTGGGGGATCCTGGAGAGACCCTTCCAGGTCAGAGAGCAGGGACAGCAACCCATTGAACCCACTGGATACTCTGAAAGCAGCACGGCCTTTGGGTGTCTCCAGGATCCGAAGTAGAGACTGAAACACCAATGAGATAAAAACAAGTTTAACACTGAACTTTCACACATCCCTGCCAAAGCATGGTGAGGGGCACTCTTCCCTGCTCAATACCATAGGAATAGCCTGCTACCTGAAGGGCGATTCTGAAACATTGGGAGGTTGACACTGTCCCTCTTAATGTTAGTTTTAGGTTGCCCCTTAAAGCCTTCTTTCAAATGACTGGTCTTAAAGAGTATGCTAAGTTAGAGGGTTGATCTACTGCCCTGTATCTTTATTTACATGCATCTCCCTCCAGAAAGCTTTCCCTGACCCCGAGCTCATACTCATCCCAGGCTGAGTGCTCACACAGTCCCCTCTAATTTCCATATCAAAACTCTCATTACACTGTATTGAAGTCACCTGAAAATTGTTTCAGCCCTCCCCCAGACTGGGTGCCATGCAATCAGGCTTACTTGCTGCTGTGGAACTTAGCATATACATAATAAATATTTGCTAAATGAATGGAATGAACCATCTCTTATATTGCAAAGGAGACTCACAGTGAAATCTTTATAAAGCAGCTTATTATTATTTATCTTCCTCTCTGTACAGGTATGGACGGGTACCTCCTTCTAAAATACTTACTGAATACCTAGTGTATACCATGTGTTTTGGAAGGAAGGAACAACTGCATTTAAGAAGTGCTCATTTGGGCCAGCTGAGTGGCTTGTTGGTTAAGAGTTGGCTTGAGAGCGTGAGCTCTGAGCAGTAGGGCCGCTGGTTCGGATCCCACATGGGCCAGTGACACTGCCCTCTACAGCTAAGGTGATGAACAACAGCTCAACCTGGAGCTGGGCTGCCGTGAGTCACCGACGATGGTGTAGGCTGCAGTGAGGCTGCAGGGGGCTGCAGTGAGCTGCCGTAAGCTACCGTGAGCGGCCGGCAGCTGGCGTGAGCTGCCGTGAGCGGCTGTCCAATGGCCGGCAACCGATCTGCCTCAGCTGGGAAGAGTGCAATGATCACAACACCAACTTGGACCAGTGAAGCGACATCCTCCACAACTAGACTGAAGAACAAAAGGACAGCAACTTGTCTGTTCCCCTTCCCCAATTCCCCAATGCTTTCCCCCTCCCCTAATTCCCCCAATAAAATCTTTAAAAAATAAAAAATAAAAGAAGTTCTCATTCTGTGCTAAAGCTTCACACCTAAAAGTGAAGAATGTCTGGATGATTTTTGATAAAGATTAAAAACCTCCAGCTTTTGGTATTTAGTTGTTTACTATTCACAAAAACTGCATGGGACTCCATCTTAGACTCAGGCAACATATGCATATTTCCTAGAGAGTGGCCAGTCCATGTGGTTTCATTAATAGGCTCCAAAGGGAGATTTTAATTGTTTTGTCCTTTCAGATATATAATGTATTAGTGATAAAGGGAAGAAAATTGTCTGGGCAGGCACAATTTAGCCAGTTCCAGGATGCTTGAAAAAAGGTTCAAAGAGAAAAAAATTAATTCCGAATTTGGGAGGTAGGGGGTGATGTTGTATCTTCAATCCATAGTTTAGGATGACAATAGCATGGTGCATGAAAGTTAATGGACAAAGAGAAAACTGGTGAGTCAGATAATAAAAAGGAAGGAAAGGACTAGATTAAAAAAAACTCTGATTAGATAAAGTCAAATAGAAACTCAGTAAAATTACAGGTAACTATGAAGTCACGCACTTTGTGGGAGAAAGGTAATTTTCCAGCTCTATCTCCAAAATGCTGGTAATCCTTACCTAACGCTAACTAGTGTTTATATGAAATAATATAATTTGTGCTCCCAACACCCAAATTTTGTTGTCTAATATTATATGCTGTACATGAAACCTGAACTGCTTGGTGGGCAGCCAATCCTATGTCTGAGTAGGAGAAGAAAATGGGCCAGGACTGAGTGAATGCACACAAGCAAGGACTCTCAAAGATGACAAGAAATGATGACTAAGGAGCTGCTGGAAGGGCTCCCACTGCCCTGTCAATGACATTTTGAGAAATTAAAAAGCAAAACAAGACAAAGATTGTAGGCAGAATCTATGAAAGGTCAAAGTCCACAATTACATTCAAAATGGACAAATAATGACATAGAGTGGGGTAGAAAAATTCATCCTCCCCTATATGGGTCAATGGATCTTTTCCCAGTTATAGAAAAAGAAAATGCATGATTGATGGCGGTTATATCAATGAAACCCATTACAGCTCAGGGGACAAAACTGAATTGTCTATTTGTTCTTTGAAACAATCTCAATATCAGGGCCACCCACTAAGGAGGGATGAAATCAGAGCCGTGGGATATGCTTCAGGAAACGGGCTTTCCAGACTGCCAGAAAGACAGAGGCAAAAACAAAATATTAGGCAATGAGAGCTGCTTCCTCCTGCTGAATGAGGATAGGGCCTAACTACTTCAGAATTTGTCTCAAAACCAGGAAGAGCTGACATTTGTAGACATGTCCTTAAAGAGAAGCATGTTAATTGTTAGAGCAGCTTCTCCAGACTAGTGATGCTCAGTGAATGTGAAGGCTATGATGTGGCAACAACGAGCTTTCCAGACTAGGAATGGCCTTTCTATATGTAGCAGCATCACAGCCACTGCCTGACCCTCCCACCCTCCAGGCGACACTGGGGCCAGGAGACACTACAGACAGATAAGCTGTGTCTATGCTTGCCTTGTGTGAGAAACTCACTCCTAACAATATTATTTCTTAGACAGAGTTGGAAATGCATTCCAACCTCGAAGTGTGTGTGGTGGTGCTTTCTTCCTGCCAACTGGACCATCCACAGAAAAGACTGAACACTGGTGTGTGTTACAGCATGCATTGCATTGTCTGAACCTAACCTCGTGCTTGGTCCCATGACTAGAGTCATGAAAAATAAATCATGAAGACATCAGGAAATCTTATGCTGTAGGAGGTTAAACCATCCAAATTTATGAGTGCTTTCAGTGGCTCCTAAAACCACTAGGAGATTGTTTTAAACAAACGGAATGAATGAAGCTCTTCTGTTTATCACATGACAAAACAAATACTGAAAAGGGAAAAATGATTAAAAAATAAAACTAATCAGATTGTAGGCAATCATCTGTGCACTGGCTAGCCACTAAACATCACCTTCCCTCAAGAAACCACCTTCCAATTGTCCAAGTTGACACCAGATATTGCTCAAAAGGACTCAATCATTCAAAGTGTTGAGAGCAGATATTTTAAAAAGAGAAGCAACCCCGTAATAGTCCTCCTTATGATATGTGTCTCTCAGAGGATCTGTCCCCTGTAATTCCTAGATGACTCTTTTCTCCTCCTGTTGGGAGGGGGGAGAAGAAAGGAATGGCTTTCCTTAATTGTTGCTTTGTTTGATTTATTAAATTCAGAGTCATTATCTAAAATGGAGGTAATCTCATTAGAACTTAGACTGCTCTATTATTTCTTGGGATGGGGTTAATTTCATATTTTCAGAGTCATAAAGTAAAGAGTTCAAAATCCAATTACAAAGGCTTAATTTCATAGCAACTAAAGAGAAACATTTCTATCATAAAGGAAAATAAATAATGCGCTACTTCAGGAAACGATTTGTCAGGAACTGGGGGCCTAGGAGGAGGGTCTCCATTACTGTCATTCAACTTTGCATGATAATGCATCACCTAGGCTGGCGAGTCTGCAGAAGGGAGTAAATTTAATCAGCTAAAGTCAAAGTAATCAGGCTAGGGTTGACACATTTCGAGAAAGGTCAGCGTTAAGCACATTTTCTCCTCCTTAACTCAGTTACCATGTCATCGTCTTTGAGTTAGTATTCCTCCAGCTTGAATCTATAAAATGGATGTCTGCTGCAAAGCGCTAACTACATTAGGACTAACAGGATTTATTTCACATTCTATTATTTGTTATTCCTCATAATTTTCCATGTGTCACACTGGAAGACTGGTGAGGTAATACAATTAAGCTCAGAGTTGAACAGCTAAATGTATATTAGCAAATCAATCTGAATTTGTGCATAACCCAATCATGGTCCCACTGGCTGTGGAGAGGAAATTCATTTGCTTACATTATTCTTTAACTCAGTTATCATTTGCAAGAATTAGGTGGTGAAGTCACATGTGCTTCTATATTGGTATTGGAAATGCCTCTGGATTTTGGAAACAACTGCCCTAAATTGGGCATTTCTGGAAGGATTTTCTCCTCAAGGGCAGCTTGCTGATTCTGCCTCAGGGAAGGGAAGTCAGGGTGACGCCATGATGTGAATGCACTTCAGAGATGGCAAACCTTTATTGGGGGGCTTTAGGGTGTACTACTTTTGAGGTCCCCCCACTCCATGACTTTTTTCTCATCCTACAGCCTGACCCACTTTGCAGACACAGTGCTTCGGGCAGAGTCCACTCTCAATTTCTAAAAAGGGAGAGCCAGCCAGAAAGAGCTAATCTTACATCTTTGTTTCTAAAGCCCCAAGGGGTTCCCAAGATGATTTAGAAGAAATGCAGGTCCCACCATCAGATAGCAAATGTTGGCTCATTGCTCCCGTGACTCAGTGGTGACTGAGCTGGAACAGACTCTTGGGCCCCATCTCTCCCCATCACCCACTGGGGCAGCAACGTGTTGACAGCCCTGGTCCTGGGAGAGCAATGGCAGCTCCAGATACCCTCCTGACCACCCAGTAGGGACTTGGCACCCAGGGAGAAGCCTGCAGATTGAGCACAGGGTATAACTTTGTTAAATAAGCTTACATTGTTTATCCCTGATGCGCTCTCTTGATAGCGTGATTTGGAAATGATATTGAATCTGTAAAACACCATAATGGCTTTACATTGCTAATTCTAGAAACTCAGTCCTATTACCCAAGGGCTGACACTCCAATAACATGCCTCTGGACTATAAAGCAAACAAGATGAACTCTCCATGAGCAAAGCAGAGCACTCTTTTCTATGACGAACACAGAAACACTCATACTCTCCAAGCAAAGTAAAACCAAAACTTTCCTCTCTGTGGATCTTTTGATTTTCAATATGAAAATGTCAGAAACAGATGGGGATTCCAATTATTCACCTAGTAAAGAACCAAAGTCCTGACTGCCTCGGCCCATGCCTTCCCTGTTCCTTATCACAATAACGCACATGCGAATCAAGCTGAACACAGACATATGGAGAAAAATGTAACAAACAGGATGGTGAAGAGGAACGATCACTAGATTTTAAGTTACTAGTCTTAGGTTTAAAATCAAATTCACCATTTAACATTAGAAGCTCTCCAGACTTGTCTCTGCTGGAACATTAAGACTGGACCGCATGAAGCTAGGGTTTTTCCCATCTGTAAATTGTCATAAATTCTTGGTATCTCTCCTCCTTACTCTCTCTTTTACATGTCCCATCAATCCCTTTACTTCACATAATCATGGGACTCTAGTGTCTTTCAAAAGACATTTAACTTTTCTTTTTTGTTTCATATAAATCACCTTCATTGATTTTTTTTGGTCCTATAATTAAATCACCATTTCAATTCTTGTCATCTGTAAAATACATGATAGTTATGTGTATAATGTCATTTTTTGATGAGCTTCTCATGATGCTTTGGCCACGCCAAGCACTGCAGGTTTAGACCACATGATGACAGCAACACAGCTACATCAGTGTTTGGCATTGGCTCTGCAGAGAGATAGAGTAGGGAAAATAAACTGAACACCATTCTCTAAGTGTTAAAATGGTTTTGTACTGAGATAGTCATGGCTAAATAAGGTTGATGGTTCAATTTTGGAAATCAGAGCAACTCTGTATGTTTTTAAACTCACCAGTTTTCAAGTGTGGTATGTTAATGACACGAGTGTGCATTTTAAATGGGATTGTGTTGCACAAATATGTGAGAGGTCCCAAAATCAGCTTCCTGGGAAATATTTGAATTTACATCTGCTCTTCTCTGAAATAGCATGTAAAAAAAGAAAGGAAATTTTTCAAAGGCATAAACCCACAAAGACAAAAGGTATGAAAAGGCAGGAGCCACAACAAAACTGTGAAATCTATACGGCAGAAGGAGTGGTGGCAATGATATGTATTATCATCTTTAACTGATTTAAGACAATTTGATGATTACTAAAAATATTACAAAAATAAAAACATGTACTCATCTTTGCTGCCCAACAGTGACACCCTAGATTTACTTCTCCCTGACACCCATTGTTCTTGTGCTTTTGACTGCCCTTTGCTTCCTTTGCCCAGCTCAAACATTCTCTGTGCACCTCCCTCAAACATGGAAGGCAGTTCCCAGCTGGAGAGGGCTGTATCTCCTCCAATGGTGTGTCCCAGGCATTCTGCATCGGGCCTGGTAATTGCGAGATGCTCACTGAATGCTGGCCATGTAAACGAGGCAGCTGTGTGGGCACCACTTCCATAGTGTACAGGGTGGCTGAGAACTAGCTGCCCAGGCAGGGGTGCATTTCCTGACACCCCTTGTATCCAAGAGGAGCCCTGTTCAAAGTTTTGCCCAGTGAAAATGGGGCAGAAGCTAACACATGCCAGTTCTAGGCCTGAGCAAGGATGCTTTGTGCAATTCTCCCTGTTCTCCATTCCTTTGTCTGCTGGCTGGATTGGACGCCCAGGGGACAGCTGTCCCTGAATGATACCCCTCCCCAGTCACTGACTGGACTATACATAAGAAAGAAACTTCCAATGTGTCAGGCTATTGGGGTTGTGGGGTTTTATTTGTTGTTGCAGCAGTGCCCAACTAAATGAATGAATGCATGGCCCAAGGTCGATCACCTGCTACATGTCCATGGGAAAGCCCATCACAAAGAGGATTTGACATCACCTTCAGGAGATCCAGTTTCAGGTTCAGCTCCCCTTGAGTGGAAGAGCACAAAGCACCCACGATGATGCTCATGTACTCCTCGGTGTTGATGACTGAGAGGTGCTCCAAGACGCTGAGTGAGGCTCCCCGGTAGCACTCATCATCCAGAAAGATCTTGATGAAGGGCACCATGCCATGGTCTTTCAGAACAACTGCAGATCAGACAGACAGCATGGGGCTAGAGTGATGGGCCTCAGTACTTAGTTTCAATTATGAGCAAAGCTTTGCCTTACAATATCCAAGTCTGTCTGCTACAGCTTTATGTGTCTCTTCTGCCCATTAGAAAGTTTTTCAAAATTCATACACACTTTTAAAATGACAAGAGGGAAAGAGAAACTGTGGAGATAAGAATTAAAAAGAAAAACTCCTTTCTTCTCCAGTGAGAATTGTTTTTGAGAAAAAAAATTAATAATTCCCTAATCCAGGGCCATTCTCTCTTTTCTCTGCTGAAATTCTCAGTGAAAGCAAACCAGAATTAAAGTTAAGAACATATTTAATTCCTAGGTAGTTTCTTGGGACTGGTAGGGAGAGGATTAAATAAATTTGGCTGGTGGTATGTTTTTGTTTAAAAGCAATCCTAAGAATTTCTCCCCCAGAATTGATATTTGGAGTAATCACGTGTGGAATGCGAATGAGGAAGTAAGTGCATCATTCAAATGGCATGATGTGGATTTGACTAGCCAGTTCCACAAAGCAGGAGTGCTCCAGTTACGGGCCGCTGCTCCCTGCATGGAAATCACCTTGAAGGTCTGTTTAAAAGCAGATTCCTGAGCTCTCAGTTGGCCTGCTAATTAATCTCTGAGAGTGAGCCTGGGAATGTGCATTTTAACCTGCACGTCCAGGAGTCTTTTATAGTCTAACATTAGAGACCCTCTGCCGTAAGAAATAATCACTCCCATGTGGTGTAGTTGATCTATGAGGGCCTCAGATAAGACTCCCCAAAGAGCCATACCCACTGATGTCACTTTGTTGATGCATCTGCTTCATAGTATAATATATATGTAGGCATACTTTACGCACATATGTTTTTAAAAACATGGAAGCTAAAAATTTTTTTGGATGGATGGAGCTGCTATGTCCATCATAGGCTGAAAGAACATCGAATTAACTCTCTTATAAATAACCAGCTTTCTTTGTTTGTATTCTACAATTTAGTTTTTTTTTAAAGAATACAATCAGTAAGAGCAGATCAGAGAGTGTTCCCGCGCCTCGCTCCCCGCGCCCCGCCACCCACGCCCCGCCACCCACGCCTCGCGGCAGGCCTAGAAAGCAGCAAGAAGAGCATGAGGGTTTGCAGTCTGAGGCAGAAGCCTCGGGCTGGGCGAGTGGGGGAAGAAAAAGAGAGGAGACCTGCGTGCAGGAGCATGGTCTGCACCCACTGCTGCAGAGGCCCGCGACCCCAGGAGACAGAGCAGAGAGCATTGCAGCACGAGGTCGGGCTCCGGAGCTCTGCAGCGACCAGACTCTGAGGCAGAAACCTCAAACCAGGGAAGCAAGACACATGGAGACGCAGCCCACACCCGCAGCTGCAGAGACGCAGGACCCCAGGAGGCAACGGAGAGCGTTGCAGCGCCAGAGTGGGCTCAGTCCCTGTGCCCCTGAGGTCCCTCCCGGAAGACAGCAGGAGCTCAGCTGGATTGTCTGAGGCAAAATCCTCAGCTCAAAATGGCGATGGGACTTTTTTTTTCTTTTTTCTTGGACAGAAAGCAAAAACAACTGCATAGATAAGAACCCACCCCATCCTCCCTCAGAAACCTTGGCCCCCACCATGCCAGAGACTTAAACTGACCCCTGAATGGAGAAGTAGGGTCAGATTACAGAGGTGCTCCTACCCCCAAGCAGTTGAGAAACTCCGCATGAGAAGAGGCTGAGGAGTGTGCGCCTATCTACCTGCCCCCACCTCTCCTGCAAGGCTTGGGAGGCAGGGCAATCTCAGCTGCTCAGTCACTCACAGCCACCCCACCCCCCAACCCCACCCAGGTGGCTTTTAGCAGCTCTGAAATCTCATACCCACCACAGCCTCCTGCTGAAAGAGTGCTAGAAGATGCACATCGAGCTTTTTGGCTACACAGCATTCAGCGTGCCTCGGGGCAGGTGAAAGCAGAAACAGCACTGACTTTGTAAAAACTACCAATCACACCTTATAACCCCACTCATCTATAATAGACCTGCATTGCCAAGGTCACTCTAGGCTCCAGGTGGCCGGCTCTACCCGCACAAGACACAGAGAAGATTTTGTATAGCAGAGGACAGGGAGAGCTTGGTAGACTTTAACCAAGACTGGCACTGCTTGTTTTTGTTTGTTTGTTTGTTTGTTTGTTTGTTTGTTTGATTTGGCGTGTTTTTTGTTGTTGTTTTGGGTTTTTTGATGTTTTGGGGGCTTTTTTTTGGTTGCTTATTTTGATTGTTTTTGTATATTTCTATTTCATTATTATAATTTTTAGTTTTTAATATAGGCATATATATAGGTGAATATATGTGCATATATATGTCCATATATATGGGTGTGTAGACATATATATTTTTTTCTTTCTTTCCTTCTTTCTTTTCTACCTTCTCTCCCTTCTTTTCTTCTTTCCTTTCACTGCTCTACTTTCCCTCCCTCCTTCCATTTTTTTGCAATTTTTTTGAATGTTGCTATTTTGTCTCTCATTTATTCTATTTTTTATTTTGTTTTATTTTATTTTGTTTTGTTTTTTGTTCTTTGGTTTTTCTGTTGTTTTGTTTTTGTTTGTTTGTTTCTTCTTTTGTATGGTCGATATTTCTGTACATGTTGAGGGTAGGTTGTTGGTTGTTTTTTACGTGTGAGAGTATCTAGTTTCCTTTGGTGACTATTGTGGTTGCACTTGATGATCTGTTTTGGCCTAAAATCACTCGGCAGTAGGGCTTAGCCAAAGAGGCACAAGAATCATCACAGCCAGAGGCCAACTTTAGATAAAACCCAGAGCATTATGGAGTCTGACCTACAAGAGTCACACCTAAAGGGAAATCGCTACAGGCACAAGATCCCATAGGGGCCAAGCCTCATCAGAGGGGTCAACCCTCACAAAGCAGCTCATAAACTATGGACACATCTAATCCTCACAGTTAGTTCAGCTTGGGAGTCAATCCCACCTACTGACAAGTCAAAAGCAATCAAAGCTCAACTTCAATGGGAGAAGACACACAACCCAAGGAACACCTCTGGTACACATGCACAGAATAGGGAGACTGAGTAATTCAAATATAAAGGACACATACCACATGAGTCCACCCAGAAAAGACTGAGAGACCTAGGGGATCAACCTATTACATCAAAGCAAGCACAAAGAGTAAGCCAGAATGGGGAAACAAAACAAACACATCCCAAATAAAAGAACAGAAGAAATCTCCTGAATCTAAAGGAAATAGAGGTAAACAACCAATTGGAGACAGAGTTCAGAACACTGATTACTAGAATGTTCAAGGAAATTAATGAGAATATAAAGAAGGATACAGAAATCATGAAAAACAACCAGCTAGAACTAAACAATACAATTACTGAATTAAATAACAAACTCGATGGAATTACTAGCAGATTGGATGAAGCTGAGGATTGAATCAGTGACTTAGAAGACAAGACAGCAGAGATCACCCAAGTGGAACAACAAAAAGAAAGAAGAATAAAAAGCATTGAAAATAGTTTAAGAGAGCTGGGCGATAACATCAAGTGCAACAATATGTGCATCATAGGAATACCAGAAGGAGAAGAGAGGGACCAATGGATCAAGAACATATTTAAAATAACAATGTCTGAAAACTTCCCTAACCTGGCAAAGGAAATTGACATTCAAGCCCAGAAAGTGCAGAGAGCTCCAACCAAGATGATCCCAAACAGGCCCACACCAAGACACATTATAGTGAAAACGGCAAGGGTTAAAGACAAAGACAGAATCCTAAAAGTAGCAAGGGACAGGCAGCAAGTTACTTACAAGGGCACCCCCATAAGAGTATCAGCCACTTTTCTACAGAAACTTGGCAGACCAGAAGGGAGTGGCAGGAGGTTTTCAAAGTGATGAAAAACAAAGGCCTACAACCTAGATTGCTTTATCCAGCAAGGTTATCATTTAAAATTGAAGGAGAGATAAAGAGCTTCCCAGAAAAGAATAAGCTAAAG